AAAAAAAAAAACAATCAACGACAATTATCAACAAGAATACATATGTACATACATACATATCGTTACGTTAATATAGAAAGGCCCTATCTCACATCGTCGCTGAAATACAAAAGGTCGTAACTAAGTAAAAATCCAAAATTCCCTTTTTAATTTATTATGATGCTTTTTATCGAATTATCAGTCCGCACATCAATTCAAGCAATAAACNTTAATTTATTATGATGCTTTTTATCGAATTATCAGTCCGCACATCAATTCTTATTGCTTGAAAATTTTAGTTAGTTACGGTTTTTCGCATTTCAACGACTATATGCAGGTCTATATTAAGGTAACGATAGGTACTTACATTCATACTTAGCATTCGAGCATGCGATTCTGCTATGAAAAACTTCTGACTTCCAGATCAAAGTTGTCTTAATACTATGCGAGTTTGTTTTCAGCTCGAGAAAGACACCTTTCACTATTGCTGTGCTGATAATGATTTGTGGAAAAGGTCAACCGGAAAAATATTCAGATCAACGCTACTAAAGATTGATTTTTTCTGGTTCCATATGAGTTCGTCTAGGTTCTTTGAGACCTTTCCGGGAGAACTGCTCTTCAAAACGAAATCATTTCAGCTCATCTAAGGCTTCAGAGCAAATGCAAATGGTGTCCGGGATTAGCAAGCTATCCGACTCTCAGTCTGTAAATGAATCAGGCTCTTGCCGAGTAGTCGATACACCTGGAAAAGGTACTGCAGGGGACAATAAAGGTAATTTCTCCTTTCGCGAGCCCCATAGCATCGTTGGTGGAGTCAGAGAACTGTCGTATAGACCTCCGCTGTGCAGGCTTGGTTAGGAAGTGTTGATTTCTCAGCACCACCATGAACTCATTTCATTGCTGGGAGTGCACGCAAAATTTCCACCGGAGTAATGCCGATCCGACGGTGGGTCTAATTGGGTTCGTATACTTGCGACCAGGCACCCGGTGGCCATGCATCCATCGGCGTGCGCTTTTCGACCTTACGAGTTGGGATGACTTGTGTTGAGGAAGTAACAGCTGAGGTGACCGCCAGAACAGGGGACTACTCTGTAATGCGATGCGACAGAGAAATGCGATGCGATAGGCAATCACCACAGCGTATTACTTACGACGTATTTGCTTATCGCATCGCATTTCCCTTTCGCATCGCATTACAGAGTAGCCCCCAGTAGTTCTTAGTAGTCACGCTCAAAAGGAGTGAATACCCGAAAGTTCAACAACCGTAAATACTTGCAAATGCAGACCGAGTTAGTTTTTAGTAACAAAGCAAAGTGTGTAGACTTTTTTGTGGAATATGTGGATCCCGTTTGTACTATCAATAGCCTTGTTTCATTTAACGCCATGTGTATGTTACCGGCCAAATCCGATCTTAGGACAAACTAGTTTTTCCTAGCCCAAACTACTTCTTACTAGATCCGATACATCCATCCAACGCGGAATCAAGTTGGACACAACAATATTGTGGACTGCGTAGTTGGAGTTGGACTGATGAGGGTTATTTTTTTGAAGCGGAGAAAAGTTCTGCTCAAAAATACTGTGGCGCCTGTTCTAGTTTAGCCTAGGCTAAACTAGTTTGTCCTAAGAACGGGTTTGGCCGGTAACATATACACATATACGCATCAGCTGCAAAATAAACACACTTCAGCAACTGTCTAAAATAAATAAATCGTTTCGATTTGTTTTGCTGTATTGCGAAACAATTATTACTGCTCTTGGTAAGGACTCGATTTGTTGAAAAATGAATTGTAGACCAAATGTGTAGAAATATTATAAATTGATTTATTGCATATCATTCATGGAATGACATATTTTTTAAATTAAAAATACATGCACTAAATAAATAATTTGATATTTAATTTTAGTTATATGTCAGTGACTTGCAGTATTTTGTATACTTACATATGTATGTAGATATATAAATTTACATTTTTAAACATTTGTCTTGGCATAATACTCTTCTGTAAAGCGTCTATGTAAAAGTGACTACATATAACGTTAAGGAACATTTGCAGGCATTTAAAAGTACTTAATTGTTAGCTAGAAACCAAAGTTACGCACACAAATCTTAAATTGCATTTTCTGATTCTCATTTAATTTGCTTGAGACATTCCTCTCAATAAATTATCTACGAGTACTGAGATAAATTTTCATGCAACCATTATTTAGTAGTAAAATATTTACCTATTCAAAAAGTTTTTGTTTTGTAAAAACCCAAATACATTTCAGTACTATTTGCTGTAGGCAAAAAACGTATTCCTATATTGATACACTACTTATGTATTTATGACTAATTAATACAAGAGAAGAGGCATTGCCGGCATAGCATACAGTCGAACAAAAAGCTAACTACTTTTAAAGCATATTTTTAAAGAGTAAACGCTTTTGTAAATACATGCATATGTACTTAAAAACTACATATGTACATATGTACATGATGTTATTTATGACTAATTTCATTTTTTCCAAAAAAAAATTTACTGTTGTCATTGCTTACTTTTAAAACAGAGAGCTTTGTTTCCATTGTAAGTCCTCATTTATTTTCTAATACATACATATGTAAATTAATAATATTAACTGCTGTGATGAAGACTAAATATAAAAAAAAAATTTTCTAAATTTTTTTTAAAACCTAGCCAAAATTTTTTTATCGGTTTTTCAATAAATCGTTTGGTTCTTAAAACAATAAACCCTCCTATTGCGCTTACATACTAACATTTACTGCATTCTTGATGCTAATATTACCATAGGTACTAACAATGTTTATATTATTGTCGATTTTACAACTCTTAGCATAAATTTTACTACTCGTGCTATTTTTCTTACAACTTTGCTTAGCCTTTTTGTCCTCACTTCCAGCCTCCGTTTTTTCCGCATTCACACTTCGTAAATTCGGCATTGACGCGCTGTCAAAATGACGCCAACCATGTTTTTGAAATAACTCATTAAATTGACGCCATTGTGCGCTATAATCACCAGCAAATGAAGCTGATTTGACCTTCACCTTTTTCGGTGTGGAATGCGGCGGAAAATCGTGCTTCACAGTAGTGGCTGTTGTTGTTGCCCCTTCATATTTTTTCCCCTTACTAGTTGCTGCTGTTGCTGCCGCTGTTGCTTTCGTCGTCTCTTTGGGGATTTTTTGCTTGTGAATTTCATGTTTCTCGCCTAACATTTCCGACGTTTTAACCACCTTCAATTTGCCATTAATGCCTATGTAGTCGATAGCTTGTTGCGCTGAATCACTACCCAGACATATGCGTCCTTCATTGCCCGTATAACGTATGCTACCACTATTATTGGTTATCTTCAGTCTTGTACTGTTGCCGATAATTTGTAAATTACCCTCATTGCTACCGATCCGTATACGGTTGCCATTGCCAATGATGCGCAAATCGCATTTATTATTTTCAATGCGATATTCCTTTGAGTTGCCAACCAAGTCTTTCGTCAGGCGTGCAATTGGCGTCGCATTCGGGGGTGTGTCCAGCATTTCCGTTGTATTGTAGTGATAGTCGTTAGCTACTCCACAACTTTGCTTATTTGCAAATGTGAGTGTAAGAGTTGCAGCGCAGGGCTTATTGCAGCACTTACTACTGCACTTACTACTGTTACTGCTACAGTCACTGTTATTGCTACACCCACAGCCACTGCCACTGCTACAGCTACTGCTACTGCTACTGCTGCATGTAAAATTACAGGAATGTACGGCGTTATGCTTACTATTTGCATAGCTGCTGTCATAACCTGCCAAGTCGTCTGCATCGATTACTGGTACGCCCATTTTTATTCAGCTTTTGGTAATAAGATTTTATTTGCTTGAATAGTTTCTATATTTTTTTCCTTTCAGTGAAGGAAACGCTTGTTTGCTTTCTCAATTTGCAACTGTTATAGGTTAAAAAATTCACAACTCGCATTCAAACAAATCTTTTGCAGGTTTCATTATCACTGCAGTTTATTTATTGTTACACTTTAATCTTTGTTGTAATTTTTGTAATTAACAGCCAGTCAGCACTTTGCTAATGTCACTTATAATTTTTTAATGGAAACTGTTTTGATTGATACTTGTGTTCTTTATTTTACTTTGTATTAACAGATCGGAAAAAATTTTCTCCTATTCACACAACACTAATTTGATTTTAATTCAGTCAAATATTTAAGCATGTACATATGCNCACAACACTAATTTGATTTTAATTCAGTCAAATATTTAAGCATGTACATACATATGTATGTATGTATGAATGTACTTCTCACAATAGTGGAGGCTTTGTACTCAATTTGCTTTTATTGTTATATCAGACATAGTTTTATTGTTATTGCTGCACATGTCGTCACATGGGGAATCACCTTTTGGCAAACACTTCCGAGCACACAAAACCGTTTGCTAAATTATTTGTTAATGTTGATTTCGCAGCCGAATGTAGGTATGTATATCTATCGCGCGCCGCCCACAGTACTTTCAACGGCGATCGCTAAATTAACAATGAGTATTCGCTCACCGCCTGCGCGGCTTTTATATGGGGCTGGGAACTAATAACAATGTTATTGTTTTGCAGAGCGTTGAACAGCTTTTGCAAGGGGAGTTTTTTTTGTTCAAAACGTTGTATGTAGCTTTATCGCGCAAGCTGAGCATATATGTAAATATATATGTAGATCACCTATTGTTTGAATTTTTGGCGCAAGGTGCGGGTATGTAAATACATACATACATACACTCACCAGAATATGGTTCCGTACAGTGTTTTTTTAATATTTGCAATGTTTTACGTAATAAATTTTTTTTCGTTAAATTTTAATAGAAATATAGTTCATTCTGCATAGCAATAGCATATAAATTAATGATTCAAAGTTTTTACAAAATTTAGGAAAACTCGACAAATTGTTACCAAAGTTTTAAACTTTTAAACAATGGGGTATAATCGATGTGCTGGTTATGAACTTACAGTTGCACGTCTATACTCAATTCCGACCCTTGCGTCCTCCTGCACGCACTCTGCACTTGGGTCACGGCAGAAAGAGAGGTGACTTCGGTTAAGAAACTATCACCTCCCAGCAATGGGTTGTGCGCTGGGTTCGGGACCCGCCACGTAAAAAACACTTCCAGTGAAAAAAGGCATCGGATGAGAACCTCCTTTTGATGACGACCACGGCAAACGTTTAAAGGACTACAAAAGCTGACATCGCCGCCATCCAAGAAATGCATTGGACGGGGCAAGGCATGGCAAGCATGGAGCTTTGCGACGTCTACTACAGTTGCCGCGTAAAGGAGTGAAAATTCTGTATTGGATTTGTGGTGGGAGAGAGGCTCCGTCGCCGAATACTGTCGTTCGCCTCGGAAGAGAAGGACGAGGCTTCCAAGCATCTCTTCTATGAGCACTCAGAGGGTACATATGAGCGCTGCCCCCGACCCGATATAAAAATCGTGCTNTTTCCTGCAAATACATTAGAATTTACAAAAGGAATTTCACTACTAATTGCCTACTTTGCGTACTTTTCTACTACCATTTTCGAAACAAGGGATTGCATTCTTGCCCTTTCTCTGTCCTTCGTAAATGCAACCTTTTGTAAGGGAGTGTCAAACCGCAGCTGTCAATAATTATCTAACCTTGTATTATTGAATCATGAATCGTGCTAGCCAATTTCAATGCCAAGGTGGGCTAAGAAGGAATCTGCTCTCAGCGAGCACTCTTCAATAAACCGACCTAAGCGAGCAGTGGAACCACATTTCGCGCTCATTAACTACCGCCGCCGAAGAAGTAGTCGGATTTCAGCGAGCCCGAAAGAACAAGTGGTACGATGAGTGTCAAGAAGCGGCAGAGAAAAAGATGCCGTCCGAAAATTATATCAGAGAGTTAAGCGACCTAGGGAAGGTTTCAAGGCCAGGGCGAACACCTGTAAGAACAACCATGGTGACCTAGTGATCGGTCGGCCCAGAACGTACTTACATTATGGAGGGAACACTTTTCCACCGAATTGAATGGCAGTAGCACTTAAAGTAGTGGAGAAGACGAACCAGAGCCCCCAGTCGATGACGATGCAGTCGATGTCCCGCTCCCTGGCTTTGACGAGGTACAAATAGCGATTACTTGATCGCATGTCCGATGACTGGAATTTATGTAAGTGTGCGCTGCCCAATCCAGAAGGCGACCCCGCCATACGCGCCAACTACCGCGGGATCAGCCTTCTAAGCATAAACTGAAGCCCACCGTCAACGAACTGATTGGACATTATTAGTGTGGCTTTAGATCTAGCGAATCCACCATAGACCGGGTATTCAAAATACGCCAAATCTTGTAAGCGACCACCGAGAAAAGGATCGACACTCACTATATATTTGTCGACTTCAAAGTCGCATTCGGCAGCATTAAAATGAGTTGCGTATACGCCGCGATGATACGGTTTTGTAAAATGACGAAAAGCAATACCACTAGCTCCATCAGAATTGGGAAGGACCTCTCTGAGCTGTTTGATACCAAATGAGATTTCAGACAAGGTGGCCTCCGTTCGTGTGATTTATTTGCTCTGATGTTGGAGAAAATAATAAGAGCCGCAGAACTCAAGTGCTCAGGAACAATTTACTACAAGAGCGTGCAATTTCTGGCGTGTACCGAATACATCGACATCATCGATAAAAAAAGAAACGAGAAGTATGTTCCGCCTTTTTCAAGTTGAATAAGGAAGCAAAGCGAATGGATCTGGTGGTGAACGACGTACGAAAACCACAGTCTATAAGTTACTCTTTATGCTGTGCTGGTATATGGCTCTTGGAATATTCGAGAGAAAGATTTTGTAGAAGATTTATGGGTCTTTGCGAGGTGGCGATGGCGCAAAAGATTTAACGATCAGTGAGCTTTACAACAATATAGACATAGTGCTTCGAATTAAATCTCAGCGGCTACGCTGGCTAGGTCACGTAGTTTTGATGGACAGAAACCATCCAGCTCTGCAAGTATTTTACGCAGGTCGCGTTGGCTTTTCCGATTGGCGTCAGTTGGCACAGAAAAGAAACGACTCGCCTGCTGTTTTGGACTCGACCAAAATCGCTTAGGCGGCTACAGCGCCAATAAAGAAGAAGAAGACAGATCTGATATACAACATGTTGTCTTTAGTCCTCGCTATATACAGTATTTAAGAAAATCCGCATACGCAAATGTGTAAAATTCCACATTTGCAACATCGCAGTACACTGTGAAATAATTTAACTAAATATGTTTCTCTCAACAAATGATTTGGTAAAAGTTAAAATATGGCGCATTCTGTTAACCCAAGACCTTAGTGACGGTTTCTGGCTCTATCTCACGAATGGCTTGCTCGATTTTTGCTTTAAGGACCTGAATCTGCACCTCACACAAAAAGGTCATAACAACGTCAAATCGAAACAGCGGGGCCAATTAACATCGCCGAGCCGGCTGATAGCAAAATTACCGAACTTGGCGCGTGGTAGATCTCGCCACCGCTCTAAAATCCACACTAAACTGTCACTCCCTGAGGATCCATTGGCATCTCGACGATCACATACGGGTTTTCCGATCGCAAGATGCGGCAGTTTTGCGTGTTCATTTAACCGCCGAGATGAAAATGCACTTCGTAAGAAAAGATGATTTTTTAGATTTTTTAATAAACGCACTGCACTGTTTGGACTATACAAGATTGACTTTGGAAATAAATTTGCATTAGTTTCCAACGTTGTTGATGGGTAAAATGATTCATTTCGTTCCGCGGGGATATGATACTGACTTTCTGTTAAGATTTCCAGCGGAAAAGAGCCGGCACCTTCGAAATAATATATGATTCAAAAAGAAACCACTGTATGGACCACCCGTTATCTATAGCAAACATCAAACACCTGCAAACGCTTCCCATTTGTATTAATCACATTTAATAATGGTTATTAAATTGATTTGTAAACTAAAGATAAATAAATGTGAATCACAAAAACTCGTTTGTTAAAGTCCATAAACTTCTTTACAAATGTACATACATATTTTACTAAATATGTGTATGTATGATAAGCATCGAAATTTTGTCGTCGACTCTCTAAGGCTATACCGCTATATACAAAAAGCGATTAGATTGCACTCCAAAATTTGCAAAGAAAGTTAAAAAGCGGAACGCAAAATAAATCAGATAGCCTTAACATCGAAGAAAAGTTTACCTCCGGTAAACTACCCAAACGAGCGCGATAATCGATTGTCATAAATACCGGAGATGGGTAGATTTTTGCAAGCGCATACCATTTAATTACACGCTAGTATTATTAATATTTTTGTTTATTTATTTTGGTGAAGAGCTGCACGAGTATATGTATAAATACGCGTGAGTAACACGCGAGAAAATACTACAATTTGTTGCTGTGCCAACAGACTTTGCATGAAGTAGTGTTGTTTAAGTAAATGCGTATTAGTAAATATTTTCATAAGGTGCACGATCGCAAGTGTTGACATTTTTTTCAGACAAATTTTGAGTAGATTGAATGAAATTTGATTAAGGAATGGCGCAGTCACTTAAGTTATCATGAAAATTTTATTAAAAACATTTCAAAAATTTCATTAAAAGTATCGAAATATCAAAATGTAGGCAGAAATCTAAAATATATTCTTCTAAGAAGCATATTTACCAGAAAACTAGTTTGCAGTTGTGAAAAATTCTATTACACAGGTTTACCAAAAAAAAAACTCCCTGCAAGTTGAACCAAACCTCTATATCCCTATGTTATTCGACGCCCTGAATGCGATTCCGAGAGTGATCCCTAAAGTTTTTTAATACTACAAGCAAAACGCTATTCAACTCATTCCGTCCCGCTGCATGCTACAAACGTAACTACCCCACCAAACCTACCATGCGTCGGTGCATATCCTATTGCAAAGAACTCTAGCTGTCAAATACCTCCAATGTGCAATCAAATTTGTAGGCTAGCGCAAACCTCCGATTGTATTACTACCATGAAAAACAGCTTCTCATAAAATTCTGTGAGGAAGAAGCTCGGCTCTAGCTAAAATAATTTAAAAGGAGGTCATGTTACGTTGCCCTAAAACGAAAAGTGTTCGGCCTGATTTCACTCTAAAAAATAAATTTTTTTAANTTGATTAAGGAATGGCGCAGTCACTTAAGTTATCATGAAAATTTTATTAAAAACATTTCAAAA